GGTACCTTCAATGCTATGTCTAGTGCTTAGTCTGATAACCCTCTCTTGATGAAGGAGCTCACTCAATGCAGAGACAGTAATCTTCTTGTTGGGTTGAAAACAAAGTGTACCTTAAAAATAATGTCATAATAGCAGTGACTTGCCGTTCTAGTGAAACATACCTAGCAATATCTCAGAATTAGCTTCAGCAGATGTATCAAAATCCAAGGTCTTCCTACAACCTTTTTTCAAAGAGGTAAGCTCTGAGGGTGTCGAAAAGAGTATAGTGCATCAATGCACAATTCACAAACTCCCTCTTACTCACGAACTTGATGTCATTATTGAAGCCATGTTCTAACTGAACTTCAGTTGTGACCAGCTGCTGGAATGTGACAACATTGAAAAGTGAGTGGATAATTCTGAGGGATTTAGCGCAAGCCAATAAGAGGGACCTTCCAATGAAAGACTTACACTATAAATTTTAGTTATTTCGTTAAATAATAACTACAACTTGATTAAAATGAAAGGACGTGCATGGACCCACGTTTTTCTCCCTGGCTTAAATACTGATGAGGACCTATCATTCCAAAGAGACCCAAACTGAAAAGACGGTCATGTTTGTGGTACTGCGATTCGTAAAAGTGGTAACCTTTTCTGGTTCTTTCTCTCTGACAGCTACTCTAGGACATGATAGAGGGGGCATGAATCCATGGAGTGACTGCAACGTGGCAGCTGTAACAAACCTGTTCTCCACACTGTAGTAAAGGCTCGTGACCATCTGCCAAAGTTTGTCTGAACTGAGTAAGACATTTATAAAAATTGTGCAAAAAATAATTAGGCAATTGATAAAAAAGACCTTTAAAATCTTCCTCTTCATTTCACTGTCTTACAATAATGCAGAAATAGTAAGGGCTGCTATATATCAGCATCAAAATTTTCACAAAGCAAAAGGTTTGGCTTTAGAGTTAGCATCTCTTGCTTCAGAGGGAGGAATGGCATTGTTTGAAGAGCGTTATTCTTTGCTAAATGTACTTATATCTAAATGGTTTAATGGTGAACATCCTGCTTTAAGTATAGTCTGATATTGCATTTTATTCTATAAATGAAACTTGATAGGTGATGAACCAAATCAGATGAACAGTCCAGTCCCTCTGTAATTAGTCCAATATTAATAAGCAATAGTATATCATGCAAGCATTCTTTGTGGAAGATGTACAATTTAGTACTTATGACTATTGTTATGCAAACACCTTTTTATCTATTGTGGTTTTCTTAATCATCACTAGTTATGTAACATGCAAAGAACAATAGGATCACCTATAGACTGTGAGAAACAATGAAACATTGGAACTCCAAATAAGCATCTAGTTGCCATAGTTCATCACAAACTAGAACAAAGTACTATATACATACAGTACAGTGGAACGGCAACAGGAAAGGTGGTATAGAATCAGTAAGATGATTAATTCTTATGCACTTATATTAGAAACATAATACTACTTTATAAGTAATGTACAGGATAATATTGAGAATGAAACTGATTGTGGTAAATAATACTCATAATTTTATGCATGTATATGATGTGGAAGTCAATGAAAGTGTAAGTCTTGCTAATAGAAATGCTATATACAAGTGTCACAAGCAAATAAAGACTTTTTAAATCTTAACATTTTATAGGTAATATGGCAAAAATACAATGCTGCCACAATTATAGAAAAGAGAAAGACCAAAAGGAGCCGACAAAACTGTCATTGGCTTACCAAAAAATAGAAAAAGAATAAGATTAGTTCCATTTATTTTTAAAATGTCACTGAAATAAGGTATAAAATATCTCCAAAACGTTTTGACTGTAATTTTTAGCTATACCATTTCAGTTTGTTGACAAAGTTTTGAAAGACGTCGTTAATGGCACCATTATCAGTGAGAGTGAGGTTGAAACATGACCAGAAAAAATGCTATCGTCATGCCTTGATGAGAACGTTTGCATAGACAGTTGTATGAAATACTTTGGTCATGATGCTTGGGCAGTTAGTTATTTAGTAGACACAATTGGCAACAATCCTGCTTACTACAGTGGAAGATGTTCCATTGCTGATGACAAGCAGCAATCCATTGCCTGTGACTGTTGCTTAGCTTGGTTCCATTTTACATGCCTCAATATGACAACACCACCTAAGGCCAGAGTGTGGATTTGTAGAGGCTGCCATGATATGTAACAATGACAACAAGAAAAGACTACTCCCTAACGGTGGGATGAATATTCGATTAATTCAAAGGATTCGAAGCTTCGAATGCTATTCGAATAGATTTTAGCTACAGAAGCTTTTTTGCACTTATGTGCATATGAAGTTTTAGGCCACGCCCACTAATTATTTACATGTGCTCACTATCTTATGTGCTAAATGCTTGCTTGTTATGGCAGAGAATGTTAACAGCGCTGCTACTACTACTACTACTACTGTTTCTGCCCCAGCCTCTACTGAGTCTACAGCTAGAAAAGGATCTGATGTTTGGAAATACTTTAAGAAAGTGAACGGAGAAGCCAAGGCCAAGTGTGACATTTGCCAGAATCTATTGGCTTATAGAGGTAGAACGACAAATTTGAGAGATCACATAGTTGCTAAACATCCCTTGTTTTACTCTCCAAGTAGCAACAACACTACAACCAAGACATCCGCCACTACAAAGAAGACACAGGGCACTCTCTCTGTCAAATCTAAGATGTGTTCCGAAGCGGAATCCAAAGCTATTACAGAGTGTATTTTTTACATGATCTGTGCTGATCTTTCCGTGAAGTTGGTATAAGGTAGAGGCTTCAATATGCTAATTGCCCATCTTGTTCCGGGATACAAAATACCTTGTAGGAAGCACTTCATAGCCTGTTGCAGATGAAATACTCGACCTGTAAAGGATCTCTGCGTACTAAACTGGAAGAGTCAAGAAACATTGCTTTGACAACAGATATTTGGCCAAGCAGAGCAGTGGAGGCATACATTACTGTAACAGCTCACTTTTTTGATTCATCATGGAAGCTGAACGCCTACGTTCTTGAAACTACAGCTTTTCCCGAGCGCCATACTGGAGTAGAAATAGCAGCTAAGCTGCAGGATATCGTGGACGATTTCAACATTAACTCTCACATATCTGTCATTGTTCATAACCAAACTGCAAATATGCTCTCTTCCCTAGATATCCTGGACTCTAAGAGAGGCTGGAAGAGCCTTAACTGTGTAGCTCATTGCCTGCAACTTTGCTTAAAACCAGGCTTTGAGATAGCAGCAATTAGCAGATTCATGTCACCAGCTAGAAAGTTCATTGGTCATTTCAACCATAGTGTAGTTGCTACTGAAGCGTTGAAGAGGAAACAACAACAGATGAGTACAGATAGCAATTGCAAGTTTGAGAAGCTAATCAAAGACTGTCCAACTAAATGGAACCCTTCATTTTTGATGCTACAACGCCTGATTGAATTACGTTGGCCTATTACTGCTTATTACTGCTGTGCTAGCTGATGATACAGTCACTAAAAGGAGCGATCGGTACTTAGACCTGAAAGGTGAGCAGTGGGAGATTGCTTCAGAGCTAGTCAAGGCCCTTAAACCATTTGATGTTGCTACAACATTTTTTAGCTATGAAGAGAGTCCATCAATCTCATGCGTTCTTCCTATACTACATGGTATAGTGCAGAGTTTAAGTGCAGTAGTTGATGAGCCTTCTGTTATACATAAGTTTAAAGAGGAAGTCAGTGGGGAAATTAAGAGAAGATGGAGTTTTGATGCCTTTACTTATGATACTATTTTGTTATTGAGCTTAATGCTAGACCCAAGATTTAAATCACTTTCATTTATTACTGATCCAGATATAAAGGAGAGCATTAAGGAAGAAGTCTTGAGCAGAATGGAGAAGATTAAAGAGAAAGAAAGAAGCAGCAAGTATAGAGATTGAAGATACCAGAGAAGAAGATCCAGAGGAAGATACACTTGAAAAAAACAGCAGTAAAAGAAAGAAACTAATGGCACTTGACTACTTACTTGGACCACAAAGTGAGATATCTATTGTTACAGTCAGAGAAGAGCTACACAGCTATCAAGCAGAGATGGAACCGTCTCGAGAAACCTCACCAAGCATGTGGTGGAAAGATAATTCTAAAAGGTTTCCTTTATTAAGTCAAGTAGCTATGGACTTTCTTCATACTCCAGCCACATCTACACCATCTGAACGCATTTTTTCTACAGTAGGGAATACGGTTACACAGAAACGCAATTGTCTCACAAACCAATAAATGTAAATGTATTGATAAAAATTATTTGTTTTAAAATATAAACTGTGAAACCGCATAAGTAAACTGTGAAATTTTAAGTAACTACAGAAGCCAACTGAAAGTTAATTTTGATTAACTGGGTGTTATTTCCTGTTGAAGCTTCGCAGTATTCAAATATTTAGAGAAAGAAGGTTCAAAAACATTAAATTCAACTTCGTCCCACCATTACTACTCTCAATATAATAAAAATACAATAATAACTTTAGATAATAATTAAATATAACAATACTTATAAATCTATTGATTCATAGACACGTGGTTTTGCGCAATACATGTAGGTCTACCAATAGACACTACAAATACTGAAAGGAGAAAAAACTTGGAGAGTTTAATATGACAAATAGACTCTAAGGGCTATGTACGTCTATGTTATAACACCCCAGTGTGGGATAAATCTGATATATCCTTCGCTGGGGTGTTATAACAAATTTATTTTGTATTTAAGCCAAACATCACTTACTGCGCATGTGCAAGAACCAAGCATTGTGTCTATCGAAAGAAAATGGCTGATGATGAAGAGTCTGCTGATAAAGACAATCAGAATCCATCCAAGAAAAGACACCTTTCACTGACATTAAAGAGGAAGTCAAAGCAAGATCGTTTTGTGGAGGCATCTTCTGAGGACTTGCAGTTTATGTCTGTCTACCGTATGCCAGGAAACAGTGCTCGTTCAAGCCGTTGGGCACTGAATGATTTGAGATATTGGTTTGACGAGTATAATAAAAGAAAAAAGGCAACAAGTGTCCTGACGAGACCTTAACTTCATCTTGTTCTAAAGAAATTTTGAACAAGTGGCTGTGCATTTACATATTGCAGACACGAAATCACGACGGTCAGCCACACCCTCCAAAGACAAGATATTCTCTTTTATGTGGAATTTTTTGGGAAATGAGAGTCAGCAATCCTCAATATCCTAAACTTTCTTCAGAGGATGATGCATCTTTTAATTAATTTCATGTGACATTGGATAATTTGTTTAAATCACTAAGAAGTGATGGTATTAGATCATCTTCAACACGTACTGAAACTATCATGAAAGATTTACTTTAGATGTCTGGAGTGTTGAATATTGAGTCGCCAACTGGTTTGCTTCAGGCTATGTTTTACTATTGTGGAAAATGTTTCTGCTTACAAGGTGGCCAAGAGCATAGAAATCTGTCTTTGTCACAATTGGAGAGAAACTGTAGTCCTGATAGGTATGTTTATAGATCAAATGCATAAAAAAACAGACGGGTCTAAAAAAGCAAGAGAAGATTGACATTTACACAAGAAAGTCTAATGACAGAGCGGCTGCTATCACCAATCTTATAGGAGCTGTTATTATTAAAGATTTGAGGCCTATTAACATGGTGAATGGGAAGGATTTTAAGCGTTGATATCGTACCTAGATCCTGGCTATCACTTACCTTCAGCTACACATTTCACAAAAGAGCAGATTCATCACCTTTTTTTTAAGTTAAGTATGTGTCTATAACAGGTGATATATGGACCAGTATTGCAACTCATGCTTACCTTACAATCACAGTTCATTACCTAAACTTAAAGTGGGAAATGAAGAGCCTGTCATACAGTTGAAGACATACAAGACTGGGTTAAGGATTTGTTGACTGAGTTTTGGGATTTGTCATGGTATTATCACTTCTTTTGTTTACGACAATGGATTTATTATTGATCTAGCTGGTAGACTACTAGAAGAAGAGTTAGGTTGGGCAACAATTGGATGTGCTGGACATACTCTACAGTTATGCCTTAATAGTGGTCTCAAAATAAAAAGGAAAGTCTACCAAGCGATTTCTGCTTCTCGTAAGTTAGCCACACATTTCAGAAAGAGTGAGCCAGCCATGAGAGATCTTAGAATTTGGCAGTCTGACATGAAAGTCCCATCACATAGTCTAATACAGGACGTCTCAACGAGATGGAACAGCATGTATTATATGATTGATTGTCTCTTTAAACAAAGATGGCCTATTACAGCAGTTTTATCAGACAGTACTGTTACAAAGAGTAGTGACAAATGCTTAGATCTGAATAGCGAACAATGGGATATTCTGGAGGCATTACAAGTCACCTTAGGCCCACATGAGGTTGCAACAACTTACCTGAGTGCTGAATACAACTTGTCGATTTCAGGATTACTATCTGTTTTGTTTGGCTTGATAAAATCACTGGAAACCTCAGACAGTGATACATCTACTATTCGACAAGCTAAAGTTGAAATTTGAAGCCAAATTCAAAGAAGATGAATTCTCAACAATTTATTAATTGCAAAGGATAACTTTTACACAATGTCGTCATTTCTAGACCCAACGTTTAAAGATTGCAAGTTTCTTAATACCCATCAGAAAATGGAAGTAAAGCTATTGCTTATTCAGCTGTTGACAGAAATTAAGGAGAGTAACTTACCACACAGCAGTTCCGAGGAAATTGGAAGCTCAGCCTCAAACACAGTCTTCATCATTATCAGCTTTAGATATTCTTTTAGGAACGTCAAAAAACGAGAGCAGCGATAGTGTTGACCCGGTTATGCAAGAGGTAGAGCAATATGTACGAGAGCCAACCACAGGAAGAGATTGTTCACCACTATTGTGGTGGAAGGTGAATCAGCATATTTTTTCACTCACTGCAATTATTGCAAAAAAATTTTTAGGAGTACGTTTTTTCAACGGCATGATTGACTGTCTGTTTGACTGTTTTCTTAAATAAACACTTCTTTGTTATAAATAATAAAATTTAACCATGGTAATTGTAGTGCTATAACAACAGTGGTCACTTATGTAAACAAAGGTCAGATGTTAATTAATAATGGCCACACGCACAATTAATTAAGGCCATGCCCACAATTAATCGATTAGTTGATCAAACTTTGAATGACTAATCGACTACAATTTTTAATAGTTGTTGAGCCTTAATGTCCACCCATGGCTTTGTCGGTCTGAAGAGAAGTAAGAACTTCAAAAGTATCCTCTGGTGATGTATCAATACTGCAGATAGAGTTATCAGGGAAAGACTGAGGAGGATCTGGGAGAATGAACTGCTGTTGTAAACTGAGTGGAAAAATTGATTGAATAAATTAGCAATAGAAAGATGCTTCACATGACTTAAAGTATACAACAGAGAAGATAGCTGACTTACCAGAGAGAGATAGTGTATAACGAAAAATACCTGGGTCCTTTCTAGATACAAAATTCTCAACTAGTCTCTTCTCGTACATGACACGAGCCTTGTGCATATCCAGCTGGAGCAGATACTTGGCTGATGTAAGGCAGAGCATGTTGAAGTGGGAGGGCCATAGCCAAAAGCACTTTCTAAGAGAGTGAACCTTATGAAGGCTGTGACGAATGCTGGGAGTAAAGCAGCTTGGGAGATATTCTGACTCGTAACCTTAATCATAGGAGTGAACATAGAAATAGCGTTGAGCATTACTCCTAGTGATAGGCGATATTTCGATTCTCAGATCGATAGTATCGATTTTGAGCGTATCGATACAGTATCGGAATCGAATTTTAAAAGCATGCAAAATCGATATGATATGTGGCCACACCTACATGTGTGGTCACCACACCCATTACTCAAGTACACATGCACATGGCATCTTGTTCTTCTATTACTGTCAGTGCTGTTAGCACTTCAGCCGCTTCTATAAACTCTCCTCCAAATACCGGTATCAAAAAAAGAAGTTTGGTATGGTGCTACTTTAGTCAAGGGCTGCAGGGTGATGATAAGGCTATATGTGAT